AAACTAAACTCTCTATAATAACCACCAAGTTAAAAGGGAATTCAACATCAAATAAATATCATGTCGTTGGAAGAAAATAAACGCTCTACTCTACTCTCCGGCCTTGTTTATCGGTACCAGGTACGTTTTTTTGCCTTCTTTCTAAGGCAAGAGGAGAGATGGAGAAGAGAAGCTTGAATACTAACCACCCCGCCACCGTGCTGCTTTAGTCTTGTGAGTCATTATTTGACTCTTTTCCACTTTTCTATCTGGAAAAACTGATCTAAAGATGTGAAATCTTCTAAACTTGTGATAGAAACAGTGGGGGCGGGTCCCGGCTCAAAAGTGGCCAAAATGACGTGCGCTGACATGCTTGCAATACCACCCTGTGCCGATGGAGGTGGTCCCGAAATAAGAATTAGCCAATGCTATATAGACCTCTCGAAAACGTCTTTACAGGATGGTCCAAAAGTTGGCTCTTGGCCCAAAGCTCCGTTCCACATGTGTGTCAATGCTGAGGGGGGTGAATTTTTTTGGACCACTCTAGTTTAGTTGCTGTGAATTTTTGAAGTCACTTGTTCAAATGAATGGCGCTCTCGCCGGCTGACGCATGCGCAGATGCGTTTTTTCACAATTGTCTTGTGTGCGGGACCACTTGCGGCCATTTTGGATAGCTCCAGTAGAGCACTATTTTTGGCCCATTAGTTAGAACGGCAGAGATAGATGTGACTACGTCCATTATTTTTTCCAGTCTATGGATAGAAGAAAAAGTTGAGCGCGATGAACGGGGACATGGATTTAATTGTAGTTTTTGGTGGTTTTAAAGTTAGGTACTCCAGCTTAATCCTGCTCTGTGTTTGGCCTGAACTGTTGAGTCTGAACTGGAAATTTAATTCTCAAAATAAAGCAGAGCAGAGAAGCCACGTGTTCCTCTCTCCTGTCTGTAATAGGCAAGGCAAGGCAAGTTTATTTGTATAGCACAATTCATACACAAGGCAATTCAAAGTGCTGAACAAAACAAGAAAGCATTAAAATCATAAATAATCACAGAACATTAAAAAGAAAGATAAAAATATAAAATCCCTCAGTTGTATGCAAAGCTAAACAGAACTGTTTTTAACCTGGTTTTAAACATTGTCAGAGAGGAGGCCTGTCTCACATCTTCAGGAAGACTGTTCCAGATTTTCGCAGCATGAATCTGAAAAGCAGCCTCCCCATGTTTAGTTCTGACTCTGGGCACTAACAGGAGTCCAGTCCCTGTGCTCCTCAGAGTCCGGGCTGGTTCATATGGGACTAACATGTCACTAATATATTTTGGTGCGAGGCCATGGAGAGATTTGTACACAAGCAGAGCTGTTTTAAAGTCTATTCTCTGAGCCACAGAAACCAGTGCAGAGACCTGAGAACCGGACTAATGTGGTCGTACTTCCTGGTTCTAGTCAGGACTCGAGCTGCTGCATTTTGAATGTACTGCAGCTGTTTTACAGCCTGTTTGGACAGACCTGTGAGCAGGCCATTGCAGTAGTCTAACCTAGCAGCTGAACCAGAGAATGACACCTAGTGGTTAAACAGGTCCATTGCGCCATAATCAAAGTATTTGTGAGTACTTCATGTGACGCCCTTTAGCTGGTGTTTTAGTAACTGTCCGGACATTGAAATAATATTTTAGCATTTATAGCTAAATTAACCACAATCCAAGTGCCTGGGTCTTCCCCTGGTCTCCTGCCCGGAATACCTCCCGTGAGAGGCATCCAGGAGGCATCCCAAAAAACAGCCAGAGCCACCTCTCACTCTCAACATTGAGAAGCAGCGGCTCTACTCCGAGCTCCTCCCCTGTGACTGATCTCTAAAGGAGCCTGCAGCCACTCTGGAGGAGACTCATGTGGAACTTCTGTAAACACGACCTCATCCGTTTGGTCATTACCCAAAGATTAGGACCAGGGGTGAGAGAGGGGACATAGACAAAGGGTTAAATAGAGAGCTCTGATTGCAGATGCTGCTCCCTCTTCACCACAACAGTCAAATCAACACAATTATACCATATTCAAGCAGCTATGAAATATCAAATAGGAAGGCGTTTCTACCGTTCTTTGGTGAATATTTGTGAATGTTTGTAAAATCATGGTGTTTTTTCTCACAATAATTGTATTTTCAACATAAACTGCATCTTCTAAAGTAACTTCTACATAAATCAAAAGGACAACAGGACAGAAAAACAATATCCGGCCTCTTCTCCCACCTGTCCTGTCTGAGCGGGAGGATCTCAAGTCGTTGCTGATGGATGAGTTTGATTCCGATTTCAGTTTAGCCTCCGGAAATTTGGGAAAAGTAACATGAGAAACAGAAGCGAACTCTATCCACCGACAGAAGTCCCAACAAAGCAAAACATCAAAGACTCAAATACACAACCGGGACTGTGGACATGTAAGGGCAAGAACCGTATTATAATGACGGACAATGCCAATAGACTAGCCCAATGGAAATCGATAAGGAAGTGCTCATGGACGAAGTTTTGCTTCAACTTGCTCCTATTGACTTACATGTTTATATTGTGATTTTCTTTTTGGCAAATCGCAGGAAAAGCTCCAGGGTGCCTTAGCAACCATGTTAGCAACACGTTTGTGACTGCAGTATAGTTTTGTTGTAGTAGTTTTAGTACTGTTGTTGTAGTAGCAGCAGCAGCAGCAGCAGCAGCAGTAGTAGTAGTAATAGTACTTTTGCAATAGTAGTCGAGTCGTAGTAGTAGTAGTAGTAACAGCAGTAGAAGTAGTAGTAGTAGTAGTAACAGCAGTAGAAGTAGTAGTAGTGGTAGTAACAGTAGCAGTTGTGGCAGTAACAATAGTAGTAATAACAGCAGCAGTAGTAGTAGTACTGCAGAGGTAGTAGCAGTAACAGCAATAGTTTTAATAGTAATAGTAATACAAGTAGCAGTAGTAGTAGCAGCACTATTGTAATCATAGTAGTAGTAATATTAATAGTATAAAGTAAGTAAAATTACTACGCAATAACCAAAACTTGTGTGCAAAGTCATACATTTATCACATGCCCCTTTAATGTGAAAGTTCAACGATCCTAAAGGCACAAATGTATTCATGTCTGCAGACTTTAACACACGCAGAGAGCGGACCATGCCTGGACCACATGCCCGCCTCAGAGCGCCTCCACACCGCGTCTGTCGCCCTCAAAACTCCCCCAAATACTCAACACTCAACAAAAACCAACAACGCGCACACACACACACACACACACACACACTCACACACTACATCTGTTTTGCACTGATGTTAGCGCACGGGGCTAGCTCAGGTTAGCATCACAGACCGTCGTTAGCATCCACGCAGCATCAAAGCGCGTTCATACTTTTTTAAAGTTTGCAGTGAACTCACCATTTCAGCACAAAACCCCGGTCTCCATCGGGGAAAAGCCGGGTTTGACAGGTTCAGAGTGGAGACAAGGTGTGCAGCCGTCGTTTGAAGCAGTGGGAGGAAAAGGTTAATTGATTTTTGCAACTTTTGTCGAGAAATTAGCGAAGGAAAAGGGGTCCGTTGTGAGTGGAGCGACTGAGGGCTGCGCATGCGCAGTGGAGGAGAGAACAGCGTCCATCACGTTGCTATTAGAAAACTTGAGAAACTTATTTGAAACACGCTCTCATATATGTATTAGACGTTTAATTCTGGTTTGAAGAAATAGTATCTATTTGTGTACATTTATTTGAAGCTGGGAGACGTAACTTAAAGTGAAAATCAGTGGACAAACCCTCTTTCAGCCAATCAGTTCTCAGCTCAAAGAGTCAAATAGTGACTTACATGGGTCTTTCCTACACAAAAGATATACCTGTTTTCTTGAAATCTGATTTGTTTGCAATATTTTCTGTTGGGACAAGAATGTAGCTGTTATTTTAGAGCAGTGTCTCCCAAAGTGGGGTCCGCGGCCCCCTGGTGGGCCGCGAGGGTACTGCAGGGGGGCCGCGGGAGGTCATAAAAAAAATAAACAAATAATATAATTATTTAATGTTAAATTGATAATGTTTTGTTTTTAATATTAAAATATTTGTGTTCATTATTTGACTTGAATAATCCACTGTAATAATTTTTGTATTACAATGTTTGTAGCAGAGGCTATTTCCCCAAAATAAAATAACCAGAAGAGCCTATTCTTAATGTTGTCTTCTTGGTTATTATTTTGGGGGGGGCCACGCAGACCCGTCAGATTTTTAAGGGGGCCTCGGTGTTACTGAGTTTGGGAATGGCTGTTTTAGAGAATACCTAAGTAACGTATACCGCAGCTTTAAAAACCTTTAGATCTAAAGTTTTTGTTCTAAAAAATTCTAATTTGTGCAGGACCTTCGTATCACCCACACATTTAGGCTTATTCTGCGACTGTTCTCCACTGTATTCTTCTCTACTTTACTCGACTGTACTCTACCCTACTTTACTCTGTACTCTAATCTTCTTTACTCTACTTTACTCTAATCTCCCCTGTTTCATCTGGCCCTGTGTAACCAGCACCAGGTCCTTCTTTAGTCCCTCTTGGTCCTGGTTCTATCCAGATCGAGGTGGTACTAAAGTGTTCCAACTGACAGTTATTGACTAGAGTGCTGCTGGAAGCCATAGTTACCAAGGAATTTCCCTAGATGCTGGTGCTTTGTGGGTGGTTGCTATAGGAGACAGGAGATACTAAAGTGTAATGGAAACAAAACAGGTATAGTCGAGCCGAGCAGAGTAGAGTCGAGTCGGGCCAAGTAGGGCTGGGGGAAACGGGATCATCCCAAACAACACACCGCTCTGGATGGAGGTGGCGCGCGCACCTTGTCCACACGCGCACATGGGGGGGACGTCATTAGCACGTGAATGCATCATGAGCTGTCATCTAACACGTCTTGAGAGCGCATGTCAATTTCCTTTAATGTTCTCGGCTACTTGTTAAACATGGAAGACGCAGGGGGGCCCAGGCTGACGGTATAAAAGACACCCCTAGTCTACGCGACACAAGAATCTGGCCTTTTTACGCACGCCGCCAACATGCACGCAACAACTAGGAGAGCTCCAAACGCACTATCAGCGGTGTTACTATCACAAATCCTTCTATTACTACCAGTGTTCTTTCTCGTGTCCACGCAAGAGACGTCGGCGGTGAAGGATGGAGTGGAGTATTCTCGGTTTCGCCTCTTGGATAGACCCACGGGACACCACCTGCCCACGTACATGGTGCATCTGTATCGGAATTTCACCACTAATTTTTCCAAACCTGTGGATGCTATTGAGAGGAGTGGAGCCAAGCGCGCGGATACAGTGAAAAGTGTCGTGGCTAAAAGTAAGTTTAAAGGCAAAAAAGTGCGTGCGTAAAATGTGCGTAAAATGAGTGTGTTTCGGAGTGTTCGCTTCTTTATGGTTTGTGTTTTTGAAGCATTCTTGACGTTCGCCCGTTATGTGTATGTAATAACCACTTCAACCTTTTATTTAACAATCTGTTTTAGTTAACTTTCACTTGGATAGACCCAGAAGGCCACAAGTAACATAGAGACCAGAGAAATTGCATTTAGATTGACGCTGCAACTTTGTGTCTAACTAGTGAATCTAATTGCTATTTCTCTGGTCTATAGTGTTACTTTTCCATCTCCATTAAAGACAAGCAAGTATACACAATGAATAAACGGCTTAGGTTATCAAGAATAAAGATTATAGACATTCAATTGTCTAATATTAATATGAATGACGTGTTAGTCACAGACATGTTTGTGCTCTGCTGTTGTGTATCGGGCCCAAACCTTATCTCTATGATTATTATTTCAAGACTTAAGGCTGGGGTACCTTATTTCCAAACATCAAAACATCCATCAAACCTGTTCTTCACTCTCAAAACAATTTGGTTTTAAGATAAGATAACAGAATCTTACATGTCTCACAGTGGGAAAAGTTTATTATTGTGTTTTGGCTTCTGCACATTTTTTAAATCAGCTTTGTCAGACAAAAGTGAAAAACAGAGGATTCAACCATTCATCTCTCAGCCCCAAGGGTCAAATAGTGACTCGTATAGACATGGTTCTTTCTTGTAAGTAAGCAAATGATAGCATGTTTTCTGTAGATCCAGGACTGAGGCTGAAGATCTCTGAGACCTCGGTCTCACGAACTGAACGTCTTTGTTCTGACCCACATTGCGAACTAGAATTGTCAAAAAATCCAGTCTGAGACAGGATCCAATGCCCTTGGGCTTTTATTTCAGTTTGCAGTTCTTTCAGACAGATTGAAGACGTGAAGCATTTTATTGGACAATCTCACAGGTGTCCCTCTGGTCTCTCTCTGCTCTCTGGTCTCTCTCGGCCAACCCAAACAAGAGAGAAAAGTCGCCGACACCTGGTCGCTTGAACGTCATGTCTTGCACTTGTTCATTTTGTGAAGGCAAGTTCTTTATCTTAAGAATCAGCGTCATTAACATTTCAGGTGATGGCATCTCTATTTGCATCCACATCATACAAAAAGCTTTGTCTTCTTTAGTTCTATCTGCAAGAACTGTGAAATAAACCGATGGTCTCTCTCTCTCTCTCTTTTCGCTCTCTGGTCTCTTTCTAGTCTCTCTCTCTGGTCCCTCTCAGATATCTCTGGTCTCTCTCTCTTGTCTCTCCCTGGTCTCTCTCCGCTCTCTCTCTCTGGTCTCTCTCTCTCTCTCTCTCTCTCTCTCTCTCTCTCTCTCTCTCTCTCTCTCTCTCTCTCTCTCTCTCTCTTTCTCTGGTCCATATTCTCGACTGTCTACTGCAAATTTCTCGACAGCTTTAACTCTTTAAACCCCGGCGACCCTCGGGTGTGCAGCGGGCCCTTCTCTCCTCCGCGCACGGGTCTCGCTGTCAAACACCCACCGCCCAGACGACTTCAGGCCGTCGCTCCAATACACATCCAGCATCAGCGTGTGAAAAGAACGCAAGCTAATTCTCAAAGCAAACCGAGGCCTGTCCCTAAATAGCCTGATGTTGATTACCGCACGGCACGGCCAGACGCCCCCCCTTATACAAATCTGTTGTTGCCTCAAATCAACAACTTCTCTTAGTTCTTTTTTCACACTTGTCGCTGATTAGATTAGACGCACAGGACCTGGCACAGGGCGCGCGATCCAATTGGCTTAAAGGGGACCCCTGAATCTCATTGCACTTTGCTCATAGGTGTTATTTATTTGACTGAGGATATGCACAAGCCGCGCGGTAATAGTCAGGGATGTGTTACAACGACGTGGGATTTATAAACAAAATAGAAGAGAGAGAAAAGGCTTTATGAAAGTAAAGGTGGTATTCGATTCAAATTCAAGTTAGATTCAATTTAGGTAATTTTTTATTATTCTAAATCACAGGAGGACTTTACATTTGTTGTCACTAAATCAATAAGAGATCAGAGAATCAAACCAAAATGGGAGCGGGATGAACACTGTCCTCTCTCTGGTCCGTGTGAGATTTGACAGCTCCAAAGTCTCTCTCTCTCTCTTGTGTCTCTCTGTGGTCTCTTTCTCTCTCTGGTTGCTCTCTCTCTGTTCTCTCTCTCCCTCTCTCTGGTCTCTCTCCCTCTCTCTCACGTCTCTCTCTCTCTGGTCCCTCTCTCTCTGGTCTCTCTCTCTCTGATCTCTGGACTCTCTCTCCGATCTCTCTCTCTCTTTCTCCCTCGCTCTGTTCTCTCTCTCTCTCTCTGGTCTCTGGTGTCTCTCTCTGGTCCCTCTCTCTCTCTCCCTTGTCTCTCTCCCTCTCTCTGTTCTCTCTCTCTCTCTCTGGTCTCTCTCTCATGTCTCTCTCTCTCTGGTCCCTCTCTCTCCCTCTCTCTCTCTCTCTGGTCTCTGGTTTCTCTCTTCCCCTCTCTCTATCTCTCTGGTCTTTCTCTTGTCTCTCTCTCTGGTCTCTCTCTCTCTGGTCTCTCTCTGTCTCTCTGGTCTCTTTCTGGTCTCTCTCTCTTTGACAGCTAAAGTATGTTTGATCAACACCCAAAGCTGTGGAAGGACAATATTTGAACTGGATTAATTTGTCCCACACCTGTTTAGTGACAAAGAGGCTTTAGATGAGTGCAAAGGCAAATATAGACCACGCAGGACACTAAAGGTTTACAAATTGGTTTGGAGATAAACTCGTTCATCTCGTCTGGCCTGGAGTCTCGCTGGTGATAGCAAATCTTATCAAACGGCTCCTAGTTTTCAACACGGACTGAGGCTTTTCCCAAATGGAGAATGCAGAATAAGCATTTTTCTATTTATACCCCAGGAGCCTTTACCCATGCATGTCTGTTAATGTGTTGATTGGTTTGAATATATGCTTTAAATATAGTTTTACACTAGAAAATACTTTTTAATAAGGCAACATTGTAGTTGTCCAGGTCTCTTTGGTCTCTCTCTCTCTGCTCTCTATACTCTCTCTCTCTATCTAGTCTCTTCCTGGTCTGTCTCCTGTCTCTCTCTCTGGTCTCTCTCTCTTGTTCTGGGTAGACTGACTTTAGATGACTTATTTGGGATGCTGAATTTTCCTCTGATCATGTTATTTTGACACTTTCTTGCTTTCCAAGTGGTCAAAAGCCAAAACACTTCCATTAAACTTTTGGTATTTACTCTTAAATGTCAGGAATGATCCATAAATGTGACGTTTACTCTCAAAACTCCATGACCAATGTCCTAGAGTGTGATTTTAAACATTACATTCCCATATAAAGCAGGTGAGATGGCAGTCACACACATGCACTGCAGTCAGTCACAGTTTCTGCAGGACCTGCTTCTGAATGATCCAGTGAAACTATCAGGACTGAGAACATGAACGCTCTGTTACAACTCCTGTAACTGACAGAATGTTTGTCTGTCGTGAGATTATAATTCAGTTCTATGTATCGCCCTGAATCACAACAGCAGTCGTCTCAGAGGATTTAACAACGTTGGTTGATTCTCCAACAACAGATCAGAAGAGCAAATAGTTGGAACACAAATAAAATGCAATAATAACAAACACATAGGAGCCATTGGTCTGTAGGGAGGGGGATGACCATAGACTGTAATACAGTCTATGGTCAATATATACAGTCACTGTATATATTAACGGACAGAGTCACGCCTATCTGCGCATGCGTCAGACGGCGCAGCTCCATTCATTTGAACGAGAGACTTCAAAAATTCACAGCAAGTAAACTAAAAAATAAGGGGGGGTAAACTAAAATTCACCCCCCTCAGCGTTGACACACATGTGGAACGGAGCTTTGGGCCAAGAGCCAACTTTTGGTCCATCCTGTAAAGACGTTTTCGAGAGGTCTGCCAATGCTATATGTTAGCATTGGCTAATTCTACTTCTGGGTCCGACCCCATCGGCCCGGGGTGGTATTGCAAGCATGTCAGCGCACGTCATTTTGGCCACTTTTGAGCCGGGACCCGCCCCCACTGGGGATGACCTGCCTGCATCGGCAAGAAACAACTCAAAAAGAAATATATATATATATATATATATATATATACATAGATTTTTTTCTGCTTGTTTGCAGAGACCTGAAGAATCTCCAAGTCTGCTTTAAGAAATATATGTTTGAATCTGGCAGTGTTTCTCAGATGGTATAAAAATGCAGATGTTACTGATTTGATGCGGCTGCTAACATTTAAACTACTACTCTTAGATTTCTGACCTGATTTGAAGGATTTAGGGAGAGAGACTGGAGGTGACAGATCACGCTCTCTCTTTGGGCCTCTGAGAAATTGGCTCTTGTGTTTATCATCACAATCTACACCTCACTTTCCTTCTCCATGTTTCAGGTCTGACGTACAGAGAAACTCGATGGATCGCCACTTTCGACCTCCGCACGCTGCTGTTGGACCGACAGATCCAGGCGGCCGAGCTGCGGATCCGACTGCCGCAGAACCACAGCGTCTCCAACGTCAGCGTGGACATCTACCACCACCAGATCTGCCCACCCCCCAACGCCTCCAGGCCCTGTCCGGAGCAGCTCCTCCTGGGCACCTTCAACCAAAGCGCCCTGGTCACCGGATCCCAGAACTGGGAGGTCTACAACATCACGTCGCCGCTTTTGAGCTGGCTGCAAAACCGGAAAGCGTTGAAAGTCAGAAGCAGGCGAATTGTGAGAGGGAAGACCGTGGAGAAGTCGCAGAAAATCTTAGCGGACGAAGTGAACGACAGGGCTTTGCTGGTTGTGTTTTCGCAGACGGATTTGGACGGAAAGACGAAACCGAAAGCGAGCCTTCTCCACACGGCCGAACAGTCCAAATTTCTCTCTCCGGCAGAAGTGAAGAAGGCGAAAAGGCACAAAAAGCGCAGAAGTAAACGTGGCCACACTGGGTTGAAGAAGCCTCTGTGTCGGAGGGTGGACCTGCAGGTGGACTTTAACCGGATCGGATGGGGGTCCTGGATTGTGTTTCCCAAACGGTATAATGCCTTCAGATGTGAGGGGGAGTGTCCGGGTCCTCTGGGGGGGTACCTGAACCCCACCAACCATGCATACATGCAAGTAAGTACTACAGCCATGCAACTGCAGCGGTGCTTCAAAGTTTATACACCTGGTCTCTCTCTATGGTCTCTACTCTCTCTCCCTCTGCTCTCTCTCTGCTCTCTCTCTGATTCCTCTCTCGTCTCTCTTTGGTTCCTATTTCTGCTTTTTCTCTCTCGCCGCTCTCTCTGTGGTATCTCTATCTGCTCTTTCTCTCTGGCCTCTATCTCTAGTTTCTCTCTCTCTGTGTGTCTTTCTCTGTGTCTTTCTCTGCTCTCTATCTCCCTCTCTGGCCTTTCTTTGGTCCCTGTACCTCTCTCTCCCTCCGCTCTCTCTCCGCTCTCTCTCTCTGCATTCTTTCTGTACCTTTCTCTGCTCTCTCTTGGGGCGGCACGGTGGCAGAGTGGATTGCACTCTCGCTTCTCAGCAAGAAGGTCCCGGGTTCGAATCCCAGTCGGAACAGGGCTTTTCTGAGTGGAGTTTGCATGTTCTCCCCGTGTCTGTGTAGGTTTCCTCCGGTTTCCCCTACCACTAAAAACATGCACAATAGGTCTGAATGAAATGAGTAATGGCGTTGGTTGGGGGCTTTGATGCGCCAGTGTGTTCGCCATCTCGCTTCCGTGATCACCGTCTCTGTCTCTTACTCTGCCTCTCTCTCTCTCTCAGGTCCTTCTCTGCTCTCTCTCTGGTCTGTCTCTCTGCTCTCTCCGCTCTCTCTTCTCTATCTGAATCCATGGTGATGATCCACATGTCCTGACCTCTTCCCATGTGTGTGATTGCAGAGTCTGTTTCAACACTTCCAGCCGGAGCGTGTGGCCTCTCCCTGCTGCGCTCCCACCAGGATGAGTCCTCTGAGCATGTTGTACTTTGAGAACGGGGAGATGCTTCTGCGACATCACGAGGACATGATCGTGGAAGAGTGCGGCTGTCAGTGACATCAGCACAAAGGAGCAAAAATATCTAAAAACAACCAGAGGAGACACTTGAATCTGGAGAAGAAAGCGCTTTGACTTTTATCACTGTGCACTGGAGAGAACTGGACTGAGCTGTGTCCAAATCACAACAGTTATAATTGTGATCTATCTATCTATCTCTATCAATAACTCCACCACTCCATCTATCTATCTATCTATCTATCTATCTATCTATCTATCTCTATCTCTATCAATAACTCCATCACTCCATCTATCTATCTATCTCTATCAATGACTCCATCACTCTATCTATCTATCTCTATATCTATCGCTCTATCACTGTATCTCCTTTGCTACTGTATCTATGTATTTAAAGCTGGGGTACCTAACTTTCAAACCACAACAACTGAAATGTATCCGATGTCTCTAGTTCCTATCACTAGTTTGTCACGTGTTTAGATCAGCTTTTCACCACAGAAAAGTGAAAAAACAGAGAAGCACATTCACTCGACCAATCAGGTCTTAGCACAAAGAATAAATCAGAAATGTAGTGACAATGATTTTTCCCCATGGTTTAATTTGAATACCATTTCCCTATATGAAGACAAAAATGAGTTTATTTTGATGTGTTCAGCACTAGTGTTTACACAGACAGCTGTAAATATGATGTATATTTATTGTAAATATCAAAGAATATGTATTTATCATTGTGACTAATAAATGTGCTTTTTTAAATGCTTTATTGTTCAGATATTTCTTTTTATAGCTTGACTAAAGCATTACCAAACACTGTACAAGGTCTGATACAATTCAGTTCAATTCAATGTTAGTAAATGTAGATCCAGGACTGAGGCTGTAGACCAAGGACTGAGGCTGTAGATCCAAGACTGAGACTGTAGACCAAGGACTGAGCCTGTAGACTGAGGACTGAGACTGTAGATCTATGACTGAGACTGTAGATCCAGGACTGAGACTTTAGATCCAGGACTGAGCCTGTAGACCGAGGACTGAGACTGTAGATCTATGACTGAGGCTGTAGATCCAGGACTGAGCCTGTAGACCGAGGACTGAGACTGTAGATCTATGACTGAGGCTGTAGATCCAGGACTGAGCCTGTAGACCGAGGACTGAGGCTGTAGATCCAGGACTGAGCCTGTAGACCGAGGACTGAGGCTGTAGATCCGTGATATTCTATTTGTTTTCCTGTGTTCCCAAAATGTCTAGCTAAGTAACAGTACAGCAACAGAATTGATGAGTGTCAATTAAGAAGATTCAATAAAGTTTAAAAGTCCTCACTTATATTTTCTTTTTGTAAATTTCTCATAATAAATAGTTTTCTGGTTCCTTTTATGAAAGTGAAAAGAGACCAGTATATGTTGCTCCTTATCTTTCTGCTTCACACTGGAAGATTCAGAACAGCCAGTAGCATCAGGCTTAAAGTCAGGAAAATCTGGTATATTCTTTCTTGCAAACACACATATAGTACAGTTTTTTTTGTCAAATTATTTCATAGTTCTGCACTGACCTGGTCCCAGTCCAGTCCCTTCTCTGATTTGATCACCTGTCTTCATTGTTGCAGTTCAGGAAGCGTGTAAAGCTGATCCCTCTGGCCTCTTACGCACACCTAACCTATCCTAAAATATGTGTGCTATTGTATTCTAACATCCAAACCTGCAGGCCTCCGTGACTCATGTCCATACCATCTCCACGCTGACATTGTGTCTGCTGTAAAGGCCATACACACACAAACACACACACACACACACACACACACACACACACACACACACAGGCTCTTTGTATGCACCGCTTTAAAAAGGTGAAATACACAGGAACACTCCAGACACATCGCCACAGGGGGAGAGAAAGAGAGAGAGAGGACGTCAAAGCGACAACCAGGTAAGAAAGAAATCAATGTGATCCTAGAATAATATTGTAATGTCCATAAATGGGTCAAAAATAGAAAACAGCATTTTCCCTCAAATTATGATGGAGAAAAAAATTGTCATAACCGTAGCCTGTATAAAGATTGACCATGCTAACCTGCTAGATCAATGAAGCCCAATAGGGAAATGCTCATGGGTGAAGTTTTCGCTCTAACATGCTCCTATTGAAAAGGTACTGGTGTTTATATTTTGTTATTGTATTTTTAAATCCAGATATGAGTCATAAGGTTAGACCAACCAGATGCCTTAATTTCTGGGGGAAACTCAAGCTTGCCTCTCTGGTCTCTCTCTCTCTCTGGCCTGGTACTGTCTCTCTTGTCTCTCTCTCTCTCTCTGGTCTCTCTCTCTCTCTGGCCTGGTACTGTCTCTCTTGTCTCTCTCTCTCTCTCTGGTCTCTCTCTCTCTCTGGCCTGGTACTGTCTCTCTTGTCTCTCTCTCTCTCTCTGGTCTCTCTCTTTTCTCTCTGGTCTCTCTCTCTCTGGCCTGGTACTGTCTCTCTTGTCTCTCTCTCTCTCTGGTCTCTCTCTTGTCTCTCTGGTCTCTCTCTCTCTGGCCTGGTACTGTCTCTCTTGTCTCTCTCTGTCTCTCTCTGTCTCTCTGGTCTCTCTCTTGTCTCTCATGTCCCTCTCTTCTCTCGCTCCCTCCCTAGTCTCTCTCTTGTTATACATCAAAGTGCAGAAAAACAATGTTTTAATCATTGTGTGTTGTCGCCGTTGCCATGGTTATTTTTATTTCAAACATGGAAAAAAATGGATTGTGAAAATATATCATATACACGTTTTACAATATTATTAGTAATGAACACGTAGTTCTAACTCAATAAAGATAATGTATAATTCTATTTTTTTATTTATGTATTTAACAAAGGTTTTTTTATTTATTTATTTAACAAAGGTCAGTAACACTGACGTAACCGTGATGACGTACCATTCTACTCAGAATAGCTCCTGCTTCGCTAGCTTGTCATACTTTTTAATACTTTTTCTTCAGTTCTCCAGTCTAACATGGTCATATTAATATTTAATTATGTATTTTGAGTGGGTCAAGTTATTAAAATCTTTAAAGTTAGCACGTGTCTTGTTTCGTGGGCTAAAAATACTCACGCTATTTCCAGCCTGAGCTAAATGCTACATGCTAACAGCTGCTGCCACTACTTGTACCGGAAGCAGATTGGAGTAAGCAAGCATGGCTCTTCTACATGATGGTTTCTGTATTAAAATATATATATGGTGTGTTTTTGACTGCGGAAAGAATAAGATTTGTGAACTAACCTTACTGCATGTTAAGTATAAGCTCCAGTTATAATGAATGAGAAGTGTTTGGTCTTATCAAACTAATAAAAAAGTGTTGTGGATTTCAATTTGACGCTGTAGTTATCAGATCCTCATAGTTTATATAACACACACAACTTAATAATATGTAATACATCAATAGGAAAGTTTAAGTAACCCTTTTAGGTAGAAGATAAGATTACATACAGCAAACATTCTTTAAATAGTGCATAAAGAGCTATAATTTTTGACATACTATCTCTCTATACTCTTCCTGGTCTCTCTCTGATTGAGCTGGTCTCTTTGGTTTCTTTGCCCTCTTATTTCTCTCTCTCTCTCTCTGGTCTCACTCTGATCTCTACCTGGTCTCTCTCTGGTTGCTCTGGTGGTCACTCACTGGTCTTGTTTTTTTTTTTTTTTAGGTTGCAGTGAGGAGACATGGCTGAATCAGTGGCCAAAGTGGCCCGTAGGATCAATGCTACAGCTGAGGAGGGCAAGGACTATTTAGGTGAAGTATTTTCACTAAATAACATGTGATAAGGTCCTCTTAACTGTTTAAATGATGAATCAATATTATAATTTACCAGCAGGTGACAGCAAAAGCTCATTTTGTCCGATGTTTAGTGTCTCAGTTTTTTAAAATCTCATAAATATCTTTTATAATGGACTTTTTAATATTATGTTTCAAATGTTTTAGATAGTACTTAGATGTAGTACTTTACCACAAAGAATACCGTCTGTCTCTGTCTTTTGTCCCTCTCACAGTCTCGCTCCTGTCCCACAGACCTGTCGAGTTGCCACCTCATCTCGTTCCCAGACGGTGTGTTCAAAGTCCTGAGCAGTGTCACCGGAAACATCAGAACCATCTCTTTGGCCGACAACGAGATGAAGACAATCAGCAGCAAATTCTGCTCCATCTTCACCCAACTCAGGGGTAACATTAAAGACTTAGAACCACTTAGAAATACCACTAATGATAAAAGTAGTTTTCAAGATAGATGAGATAAGGGAAGACCTTATTCATCCTGCAGTCGGGAAATGTCGATGTTACACTTACAGGACAGTAGTAAGAGCACACCACATACAGCACAACACTGGATCTGTGTCTCTGTCTGTCAGAGCTGGATCTGCAGGGGAACGTCCTGAAGAAGCTTCCGGATGACGTGGTGCAGATGGAGACTCTGAGCAGCATCAATCTGTCCAAGAACCAGTTCAGCGAGTTTCCACAGAAGCTGACGGAGATGAAGCTGGAGCGGATCGACCTGGAGGGAAACAACATCTCAGGTACTGTCAACAACAGACTCTCTCTCTCTGGTACTGTCTACAACAGACTCTCTCTGTCTGGTACTGTCTACAACAGACTCTCTCTCTCTGGTACTGTCTACAACAGACTCTCTCTCTCTGGTACTGTCTACAACAGACTCTCTCTCTCTGGTACTGTCTACAACAGACTCTCTCTCTCTGGTACTGTCTACAACAGACTCTCTCTCTGGTACTGTCTACAACAGACTCTCTCTGTCTGGTACTGTCTACAACAGACTCTCTCTCTCTGGTACTGTCTACAACAGACTCTCTCTCTCTGGTACTGTCTACAACAGACTCTCTCTCTGGTACTGTCTACAACAGACTCTCTCTCTGGTACTGTTACAACAGACTCTCTCTCTCTGGTACTGTCTGTCTACAACAGACTCTCTCTCTCTGGTACTGTCTACAACAGACTCTCTCTCTCTGGTACTGTCTACAACAGACTCTCTCTCTGGTACTGTCTACAACAGACTCTCTCTCTGGGTACTGTCTACAACAGACTCTCTCTCTCTGGTACTGTCTACAACAGACTCTCTCTCTCTGGTACTGTCTACAACTCTCTCTCTCTCTGTCTACACAGACTCTCTGTACTGTCTACAACAGACTCTCTCTCTCTGGTACTGTCTACAACAGACTCTCTCTTGGTACTGTCTACAACAGACTCTCTCTCTGTACTGTCTACAACAGACTCTCTCTCTGGTACTGTCTACAGACTCTCTCTGTAGTCACAGACTCTCTCTCTACACGCTGGTCCTGGTCTACTACAACAGACTCTCTCTCTCTGGTACTGTCTACAACAGACTCTCTCTCTCTGGTACTGTCTACAACAGACACTCTCTCTCTGGTACTGTCTCTCGTACAACAACAGACTCTCTCTCTCTGGTACTGTCTACAACAGACTCTCTCTCTCTGGTACTGTCTACAACAGACTCTCTCTCTCTGGTACTGTCTACAACAGACTCTCTCTCTGGTACTGTCTACAACAGACTCTCTCTCTCTGGTACTGTCTACAACAGACATGCACTCTCTCTCTGGTACTGTACTGTACTACAACAGACTCTCTCTCTTGGTACTGTCTACAACAGACTCTCTCTCTGGTACTGTCTACAACAGACTCTCTCTCTGGTATGTCTACAACAGACTCTCTCTCTCTCTGGTACTGTCTACAACAGACTCTCTCTCCTGGTACTGTCTACAACAGACTCTCTCTCTGGTACTGTCTACAACAGACTCTCTCTCTGGTACTGTCTACAACAGACTCTCTCTCTGGTATTGTCTACAACAGACTCTCTCTCTCTGGTATTGTCTACAACAGACTCTCTCTCTCTGGTACTGTCTACAACAGACTCTCTCTCTCTGGTACTGTCTACAACAGACTCTTTTACCTTCTAAATATTAAACACCTGATACCATAGGAACAGGCCTTATCCACATCAGGTGAAACACTCTCTCGTCTCTTTCTCTTGTCTCTCTTTCTGGTCTCTCTCTTGTCTCTCTGCTTTCTCTCTACACAGGATATTTTAGCTTCCTGGATACTTAATAAGTATCCTAGTTACTTAGTTGCTGTATTTATGGTTGTCTTGTGTGTGTTTTTGCAGAAGTCCCGGTGGAGCGCTTGTTGTCGATGTCTTCTCTGAAATGGATCAACCTCAGATCAAACCCTTTGAGCCCAGAGACTCTGAGCGCTCTGCAGACGCCTCACAGCTTTGAACTTATCCTCAACTAACCCTAAAAACTGTATTTTTTTACACAAAGACAAGACACAAACTCGACCGTGACCTTTGTCACATTTGGAGCGACCTCAAAATCTGATTCTTCCATTGTTTTAAGAGACTTGACATGAAAATCTACTTTTCTCAGCTTTTGTTGGTGCTATTGTTGTGTGCAAACTTACAGGGTCATATATTTGAGTCATATATGATCTACAACCCCATCTCCACCATCCCTCCTACTCTACTCTGGTCCCTCTCTAGTTTCTCTCTCTGGTCTCTTTCTCCGGTTTCTCTCTGGTCTCTCTCTCTCTCTCTCTCTGATCTCTCTCTCTCTGATCTCTCTCTATCGTTTCCCAGTTCATTCCCCCATCTACCTGACACAAAAGTGAAAAAGAGAGGACCAATCAAATAGTGACTCACAGGGCTCTTTCTTTCATGTTTTAGGGTGAAGACAGCATTGTGTGGTTTGAAGTTGAAGTGCAGTTATGTTGGGCATGAATCTGATGATACATTTTGTTACACATTGTTCTAATCAAGACATAAATCTGAGACTGAGAACTTTTACTCCTGGTTTGTATTTCTTCTCGAACATTTAATTCTGTTTTGGAAAGTGCAGTGTCTTAAAAGCTCCACCAGATGGTGACAAAGAACTGGAACATGTTCATTACATGAATGATACTAAACACAGTGTTGGGAGCATAGACTGTAAATATTAGGGAGTAACGCGTATCAAAAGTACTGTACTGACTGCAATGTATGGATTTATACAATAATGTAAGGCCTTAAAACTGGGTAATTTTACTCGGTACAAAAGGCAATTCTTGTTTCCAAATGTTGTGTTTTGTTTTTATCCTACATTACATTATACATTTAAATTACAGCAGGAGAACACAGCTGCTCCGATAGTATTTGCTCAGAAGTGTTGTTTCTTGTAGATGACGGCTGAGCAGAAGCAGAAGCAGAAGCACTATGGACAATAGTACATTTTACAGATGGACAGACTTCATTCAGACTCAGACTTTAAAGTTTATTGGAGACAAAAATGTGAAACATGACAGTTAACTTTATGTTCAAACCAAAAGCTCTATCAACCTCACGCTATAGCACTAAGCTACATTTATTTATTTATTTATTTATTTCTGGGACAGTGCATATTAATGAACATTTCTGTAAATATGCTAGAATTAGCCAAGTGGCTATTTTTTATCTGTAGTCCCGCATCAAGTTCACATCAAGTTTTTATTTATGTGTTTTTTGGGTTAATGCAGTAGTAGTTTAATGCTTTGCAATTCGGAGACATTAATATTGTCATAATACATAACTTTGAAATAACAGAAACAAGTAACACATCATGTATCACTGGTAATAAAGTCCATATTTCAACTCATGTCTTGAAGCCTGATCTCTGCTTTGGCCTCTGTTGGCCTCTGTTGGCCTCTCTCTAATCCGGTGTTGTGGAGAGCCCTGAGTCTGGACCATCTGGAGCTGACAGAGTGGAGAAACATTTAAACCAATTAGAGCCAGGATTAGCCTCTCATTCACACACGCAGGCACCAGGGCGAGAATACAGCTCATAACACTCTCTCAAACACAGATAGATTTAGATTGTTTAAGTAAGTCATTGTTATATGTATAGCAAATTTGGTGGAGCAGTCACCATCATCATTTCCCATCATAGAGAAATAGAGGGCATCACCATTCATTCATTCACCTGGAGCACCTGGAGGAAACCGGAGCAGACACAGGGAGAACTTGCACACTAGAATTCAAAGAAACACTTTACGGTTGACAGAGTAACACACTATACACACTATCACAGATGGTGTGACAGACACACACACACACACACACAAACTCTCCCCAGTTTTAACACCTGACAATAAAGCTGTAATCTAGGAAAATCCCAAAATAGCCTGCAGCTCCGAGCTAACGCGCATGTCCACTCCACTCTGTGAGAACCAGGGACTTAACTGAGGACTCTTGATCCAGATTTAACCTGGACTCGGCCAGGTCCCAGTCTGGTCTCAGTTTGGTCACTCTCTGGACCTGATCAGGACCAGAGATGTCTTACTGTGTGGAGGAGAGGGGACGAGCCAACAGCCTGGACTACAGACTCTACTTCAGTAAGAAACAGATACATCTACAGCTTTATTAAACCAAAAGTATTGCTCTGAATGTTCATTATAGACTGAGTGGATTGTGTGAGCTCTTTTGATCGATTCTTGGTTGGAACATGGTCTTTCTGTGAGGAGTTTACATGTTCGTCTTGTTTTTACCACAAATAGACGTGTACAGTAGGTAAAATCCTCCAGCTGTGGTCCTGACCAAGCCGAGCATCAACATCTCCCTGGGTTCCGTTACTATGGCGACCACTGCTCCTGACAGGCGCCCTAGTGCCATCAGCATGGGTCAAATGCAGAGGATGAAAAAAAGTGCACATATACCTCTTTAAGACTAAATATCAATAGGTTAAAATCAAACAAGACATGATTGTTGCACTGACAGCGTGTGTTTATGTTCTGAGATAAAATAACAATGAATTGGAGAGCACATAAAATAGGGACAATATCAATGTTTTGTAATGTTTTCATCTTTTAATCTTTATTTGTATCTCCATTTTTTGGATTCGTATTTAATAACGAGCTTCTGTGATTCTCGTGTTTGTAGAAAACTCTGAGGGGAAGTATGTCTCTCCGTTCCATGACATCCCAGTGTTTGCAGATGAAGCTCAGGTGAGAGATTTGGTTTGGTTTGATCGTCAGACATCGGACGAGTACAGGTAATGTGGGAATGTTGAGAGAGACTGGAGAGAGAGAGAGAGACTATAGAGCGAGAAACTAGAGAGCAATCAGAGAGAGAGACCACGGAGAAAAACTAGAGAGAGACTAGAGAGCAAGAAACTAGAAAGCAATCAGAGAGAGAGAAAACTGAGAAAAACTAGAGAGAGACTAGAGAGAAAGATCGGAGAGAGAAACCAGACAAAGGCCAGAGAGAGAGACCGGAGAGAGACTATACAGCGAGAAACTAGAGAGCAATCAGAGAGAGACCACCGAGAAAAACTAGAGAGAGACCGGAGAGAGAAACCACACAAAGGCTGGCGAGAGAGACCGGAGAGAGAGACTATAGAGCGAGAAACTAGAGAGCAATCATAGAGAGAGAAAACCGAGAAAAACTAGAGAGAGACTATAGAGAAAGATCGGAGAAAGAAACCAGACAAAGGCCAGAGAGAGAGACCGGAGAGAGACTATAGAGCGAGAAACTAGAGAGCAATCAGAGAGAGAGATCACCAAGAAAAACTAGACCAGAGAGAGACTAGAGAGAGAGACCGGAGAGAGAGAAACTAGAGAGAGACCAGAGAGAAAAACCAGAGACAGAGAGAGACCAGAGAGAGAGAAACTATGGAACGATCAGAGAGAGACCAGTTTCTGCCTTCTGCACTAAAGCAGACACTATGGGAAAAGCTCTATTCTCTCAGGTCTGGTTCTCAGTGAGGGACGGAGTAAATTTCAACTGTATGAGACATGCAGATATGTTTTGCTAAATGCTAAAACCTGGTTCTTTATATGTCTTTCCTAACTTCAGTGTCTTTTCCTCCTCACAGAATATCTTCAACGCTGTTATTGAGGTCCCGCGGTGGACAAATGCAAAGATGGAGGTGATGCACATTTTAAACACTTACAGCAAATACATGTGGTAGAATCAGTTTGAGTTTGAGTATTTTCTAGATACAGAAGTTTTGGAATGATCTAAACAGGATTCTTTTGTGTGTGATTTGGTTCCAGATCGCAACCAAAGACGCCCTGAACCCTCTGAAGCAGGACGTGAAGAAGGGGAACCTCAGATACGTGGCCAATGTGTTCCCTCATAAAGGATACATCTGGAACTATGGGGCCATCCCACAGGTAACTACAGCCTCAGTCCTGGGTCTACAGCCTCAGTACTAGATCTACAGCCTCAGTCCTGGATCTACAGCCTCAGTCCTGGGTCTACAGCCTCAGTACTAGATCTACAGCCTCAGTCCTGGGTCTACAGCCTCAGTCCTGGATATACAGTCTCAGTCCTTGGTCTACAACCTCAGTCCTGGATATACAGCCTCAGTCCTGGATCTACAGTCTCAGTCCTGGGTCTACAGCCTAAGTCCTGGGTCTACAGTCTCAGTCCTGGATCTACAGCCTCAGTCCTGGATCTACAGCCTCAGTCCTGGATCTACAGCCTCAGTCCTGGATCTACAGCCTCAGTCCTGGATCTACAGCCTCAGTCCTGGATCTACAGCCTCAGTCCTGGATCTACAGTCTCAGTCCTTCTTAGCAATAAGAAACGTCTCCTCTTTCCCTCAGACCTGGGAGGACCCAAACCATAAGGACGGAGACACTGGTTGCTGCGGCGACAACGATCCGATCGATATCTGCGACATCGGAGACAAGGTACAAACTCACCACGACGTGTGACGGAGAGAAAACATGGGACAAATTTTGAGTTTTAAACACGCTGGAGGTCCCAGTTTGGAATCAGGGACATTGATCAAAAGTGATTTTGCAGGAAGAAGATTTGACACATTACACAGCTGGTTTGATGTTTTTACAAACCAGACCAGAGAGAGACCAGAGAGAGAGACCAGAGAGAGAGACCAGAGTGAGACCAGAGTGAGACCAGAGAGAGACCAGAGAGAGACCAGAGAGAGACCAGAGAGAGAGACCAGAGAGAGACCAGAGAGAGACCAAAGAGACTAGAGAGAGATCAGAGAGAGAGACCAGGTACTCCTGACTTCCTGTATCCGGTGAGCGTGTTTCTTGACTGCTATCACTCTGCTCTCTGTTTGCACTAACAAACACATTACAAATCCACGTATTGTACACCAAGCTAACTGTGTAAGCACTCCGAGTCAGCTGTACTGTAGCTGAGGTTTAGGTAGCGGTTGTTTGTCTGGTCTCGGAGTCTGTTGTGCGGGCCCGGATCCGGACTAGCTTAGCCTAGCCTAGCTTAGCCTAGCCTAGCCGCTAACTCGCTACTATGGCGGCTGCTGTCTCTCCCTCAGTCCTTTACTGCTCGAGTTGCCATATGGCGAGTCTAAACCCTGGATCCTTCTCTGAGGGTAGTGATAGATGTGTGAAGTGTAGTGTAGTCGTAGCTCTGGAATCCAGGGTCAGTGAGTTAGAGCTGCGTCTCCGAGCACTGGAGTCTCGAGCTAGCGCTAGCATTAGCTACAGCCAGGCCGTATCCTCAGGGACAGCGGAGCGCAGCTTTAGGGAAAGGCAGAGGAGAACTAGCGAGCCTAGCCTCCCAGCCCGTCCTCCGCAGCTGGGACAAGACCAGGATAGTGATGGCTTTGTGACTGTTCGGAGAGGGCGACGTGTTGTTGGTAGTTTCCCCATTGGGCCTCCTCCTGTTAGCATTTACAATCGCTGGGACGCTCTGTCCGGCTGCGCCCCCGCGCGGCCGGGCGGGGAAGAAGGCCCCACTGAGAGAGCCGCTGAGAGAGCTGCTGAGAGAGCCGATGGAGTCGCTGATGCGCTGGTAATTGGCTCCTCTATTGTTAGAGGTGTTAAGATCCCAGGAGCCACTGTTCGGTGCTTCCCTGGGGCCAGGCTTGGTGATATTGAAGGGAATCTGAGGCTCATGATGACCCACAAGCAGCGTTTCCGTCGAATTGTTATTCACGCGGGCGGTAATGACGTTCGGCGGAAACAGTCCGAGGTGTTGAAGCTGCAAGTCGCCGCCGTGTGCAAGCTGGCTAGCACAATGGCCGACACTGTCATCTTCTCTGGGCCCCTACCTAGCACTAGCAGTGCAGAAGCATTCAGCAGACACTCGGCTTTCAACCGCTGGCTGTCTGGCTGGTGCCCTCGAAGTGGTGTTGTTCATGTTGACAATTGGAGTGCCTTTTGGGGAAAGCCCGGTCTCATCCGCTCGGATGATATCCACCCAACGTTGGCGGGTACATCCCTTTTGGCTAAGAATTTGGCCCTGGCTCTAAACTGTTCTGCTCGGCTCAAATGACGATGCAGAACTGAGGCCCGGGTGCAGAGCTGCTCTGCCACAACCTCTGAGCCCCCATCTGTTCAGTTACTAGCCTCAGAGGCTAGTCAGATTGAAACTGTGTGTGCATGTGTGTGTGTGCCTGTGTGTGCTCAGTTACTAGCCTCAGAACCTAGTCAGATTGAAACTGTGTGTGTTCCCCGCTTGAAGTCTAAAGCACTATATGCGAGGAAATCTGACCTAGGTGTCAGACACAGTAACTTAATAAAAGTTCAGACAGACAGAAATAGTTCTAACAGTAGGGTTGTTAAATGTGGTTTAATGAATGTCAGATCAATCTCGTCTAAATCGCTTCTCATAAACGAACTTATTATAGACAAGGGCTTGGATCTGTTAGCGCTCTCGGAGACTTGGCTCCAACAAGACGAGTACGTTAGATTGAATGAGTGCACTCCTCCGACGCATGTTAACTACCAGAAAGCCAGAGCTACAGGTCGCGGCGGTGGTGTTGCGATTATATCACACACCAACTTGGTTCTTAGTCCCAAAACCAACAACGCTTTTCACTCGTTTGAAAACTTAACACTTTCAATCACCTGTCCTGGGTGGAGAAAACAAAAAGCAGTACTATTTATAGTTTTATACCGACCTCCTGGTCCTTACAGCGAGTTCCTAACAGAATTCTCTGACTTCATTTCAAACCTAGTTTTGGAATGGGAAAACATAGTTATAGCTGGAGACTTCAATATACATGTGGACGACAGCACTGACAGCTTAAACAAAGCTTTCAGCGCCGTACTAGATGGTGTTGGTTTTACTCAGAATGTCGAGGAACCTACTCACATTCATAACCACACCTTGGACCTTGTCCTGACCTACGGCTGTGATGTCTCCAATGTTGACATCCAGCGTCAAAGCTCGTTGCTGTCTGACCATTTCTTGATCACGTTTGATCTCGCTTTGGAGGACTTTCCTGTCCCGCAAGATAAAACCATAATGAAAAGAACCTTAAATGATAAATCTATCACAAGGTTCAAAGAACTAATACAGCCTATGTTGAATACTGCTGCAGGTGAACCTGTTCACAGCAGCTGCAGTCCCTCAGTCATCGACCAAACGGTGGGCAACACTATGGAGTCTTTAAAATCTGCATTAAATGCAGCAGCTCCTTTAAAACAGAAAACCATTAGGATTAGATCATCGTCGCCCTGGTACAGTGTTCAACTCCACACTTTAAAACAGGACGTCAGAAAATTGGAGAGGCTATATCGCCACTCCCACTCGGAGCCTGTCCACAGGGAGTGGAAAGCAGGTCTCCGAAACTACAAGAAGGCCCTTCGCGGGGCTCGAACTCAATACTATTCAACTTTAATAGAAGCGAATAAAAACAACAGTAGATTTTTGTTTGGTACCGTCGCTAAACTCACAAACTGCCATAGCGCAATCGAGCCTAAAATTCCAAGCTCACTGAGCAGTGTCGACTTTCTCCACTTCTTTAATAATAAAATTACATCCATCCGTGACAAGCTGGAGGAGGTTGCTCCTGCTGTTAGTGGTGGACAGGTTGAAGCGGCATACGTGACTTCCCACTTAGACTCTTCAGTGGGCCTTAATAAATTCATGGCTGTGAGCCAAGCAGAGGTGATCTCTGTGGTCACATCCTCAAAAGCCTCAACTTGCATGTTAGACGCAGTCCCGACATGGCTCTTCAAAGACATACTTCCTTTGATAATTGAGCCTATCGTAAATATAATAAACGCATCCATACAATGTGGCTATGTCCCACAAGCTTTTAAAACCGCGGTAATCAAACCCCTTCTGAAGAAAACAAACCTGGACCCAGAAATACTTACAAACTACAGACCGATCTCGAACCTCACTTTTATATCTAAAATCCTGGAAAAACTTATAGCTGAGCAGCTCCGCTGCCACCTGCAGGAAAATGATATGTTTGAAGTCTTTCAATCAGGATTCAGAGCTCATCATAGCACTGAAACGGCACTAGTCAAAGTCACAAATGACTTACTACTAGCTGCCGATAATGGACAAGTGTCAGTGCTGGTCCTACTGGACCTTAGTGCTGCATTTGACACAATAGACCACAGCATTCTACTGCAGAGGCTAGAATGTGATATAGGTCTTAGAGGAACAGCCCTTGGCTGGTTTAAATCCTATTTATCAGATCGATATCACTTCGTCAATGTGAATCAGGACTCGTCGCCTTATTCTGGAGTGGAATTCGGTGTGCCGCAGGGTTCGGTACTCGGACCGATTCTTTTTACTCTCTACATGCTGCCACTGGGAAACATTATTAAAAAGCATGGAATTAATTTCCACTGCTATGCAGATGACACACAGCTTTATCTGTCGATGAAGCCTAATCAGACAGATCAGCTAGAAAAGCTCAGTGCCTGCATAAAGGACCTTAAAATGTGGATGACTCTTAACTTCCTACTTCTCAACCCGGAGAAGACAGAAGTGATCCTACTCGGTCCGAAGCGCCTGCGTGACTCCCTCACTAACCAGATGGTTACTCTCGATAATGTCAGTATAATACCCAGTAACACTGTGAGGAATCTTGGAGTCATTTTTGACCAAGAACTCTCCTTCAAGGCTTATATAAGCCAAGCAACTAAAACGGCGTACTTCCACTTACGGAACATCGCTAAAATTAGGAATTTCCTTCCTAAAAGTGATGCGGAAAAACTCATTCACGCGTTTGTCACCTCAAGGCTTGACTACTGTAACGCTTTACTGGCAGCGTGCCCTAAAGCCTCTTTGAAGAGCTTCCAGCTCGTTCAGAATACAGCAGCTAGGATCTTAACAGGTACCAAAAGGAGGGAGCACATAACTCCGGTGTTAAAATCACTCCACTGGCTCCCTGTGGAGTACAGAATAAAGTTTAAAATCCTACTCTTAACATATAAAGCCATAAATGGCTTGGCTCCTTCTTATCTCCAAGACACGTTAGTGTCGTATCAACCAAGTCGAGCGTTGCGCTCACAAAACGCCAGACGTCTGGTGGTCCCTAAGGTCTCAAAGGTCACTGTTGGTGGCAGAGCATTTAGCTACCAAGCTCCTTTACTGTGGAATCAGCTTCCCATTTATGTTAAGGAAGCAGATACGGTCTCCACATTCAAGGCCAGGCTTAAAGCACTTTACTTTAATTTAGCATATAATTAGGTAATATATAATATGTAGTGTATATATTATATATATATGCTGTATTATGTTATATATTATGTTATATATTATTCAATAATGTATTGTGTTATGTTGTATATTATGTTATATATTATGCTGTATGTTATTCTTTATTCAAGGCTAGGTTTAAAACAGTCCTCTTTAGTTTAGCATATGGCTAGGAAGGTAAGACTCGGAGAAGGTTAAACTCCTCAGAGTGTTAGTCAAGCTGCATAGGGAGTCAGTTTGCTGGGAGAAGTATGGTAACTTGAGCACTATCCTCTCCTCCTTCCTACTTTATCTGTTTAGCATTTTTAGGATTCTGACTGTAGTTTGTTCATTGCTATTCACCCGTTGTCCCATTGTCTGTTTCATGGTACGATGACGGGATCTCTGAGCCTGGCCTCTTCCATCTACACCTGCGGACTGCCCCGCCCGACCCGCCTGGGAGTGCTTCGGTCCTGCACCGGACCTGTCCACGTTCAGCGGCCACTGGTCCACGTTCTGTAGCTAGCTTAGGTCCTAGATCATTAGTCTGTCCGTCCGGAGGAGCGGATCCCTTTCTCATATGGGTCTCCCTCCCTGTGGGTTTCCCTAGTTCTCCTCCAAGGTTTCTCACTTTTTCCCACTGGGTTTTTTAAGAGTTTTTCCTTGTCGATGCAGGAGGGTCTTGTTGGACAGTTAGTGTCCAACAGAAAGGATTGGTGATGATCAGGACACTTTAGCATTCTACAACATGTATGGACATTTTCTTCTGTGTGTGCTTTATACTGTATTCTTCATGTGTTTTAACTGTTGATTCTCTGACCTGTGTTGGTGATTTCAATGGTTTTGTTAAGTCCTCTGAGATGACTTCTGTTGTGACCTAGGGCTATACAAGAATAAATTGTATTGTATTGTACCAGAGAGAGACCAGAGAAAGAGACCAGAGAAAGACCAGAGATAAACCAGAGAGACTAGAGAGAGATCAGAGAGAGAGACCAGAGAGAGACCAGAGAGAGACCAGAGAGAGAGACCAGAGAGAGACCAGAAAGAGACCAGAAAGAGACCAGAGAGAGACCAGAGAGAGACCAGAGAGAGACCAGAGAGAGAGACCAGAGAGAGAGACCAGAGAGAGAGACCAGAGAGAGAGACCAGAGAGAGAGACCAGAGAGAGAGACCAGAGAGAGACCAGAGAGAGACCAGAGAGAGACCAGAGAGAGAGACCAGAGAGAGATCAGAGCGAGAGACCAGAGAGAGACCAGAGAGACTAGAGAGAGATCAGAGAGAGACCAGAGAGAGACCAGAGAGAGAGACCAGAGAGAGACCAGAGAGAGACCAGAGAGAGAGACCAGAGAGAGAGAAGAGAGAGAGACCAGAGAGAGACCAGAGAGAGACCAGAGAGAGACCAGAGAGAGACCAGAGAGACAAGAGAGAGACCAGAGAGAGAGACCAGAGAGAGAGACCAGAGAGAGACCAGAGAGAGACCAGAGAGACCAGAGAGAGACCAGAGAGAGACCAGAGAGAGACCAGAGTGAGACCGGAGAGAGACCAGAGAGAGACCAGAGAGAGAGACCAGAGAGAGAGACCAGAGAGAGACCAGAGATAAACCAGAGAGACTAGAGAGAGATCAGAGAGAGAGATCAGAGAGAGAGACCAGAGAGAGACCAGAGAGAGACCAGAGATAGACCAGAGAGAGACCAGAGAGAGAGACCAGAGAGAGACCAGAGAGAGACCAGAGAGAGAGACCAGAAAGAGACCAGAGAGAGAGACCAGAGAGAGAGACCAGAGAGAGAGACCAGAGAGAGACCAGAGAGAGACCAGAGAGAGACCAGAGAGAGATCAGAGAGAGACCAGAGAGAGACCAGAGAGAGACCATGGAGACCAGAGAGAGACCATGGAGACCAGAGAGAAAGATCCTACAGACCAGAGAGGGAAAGACCAGAGAGTATTTCACCAGTCACTGTGTGTGTTCAGGTGTGTTCTCAAGGAGAGGTGATCCAGGTGAAGGTTCTGGGGACTCTGGCTCTGATCGACGAAGGAGAAACTGACTGGAAAGTGATCGTCATCAACACTGAGGATCCACAGGCCTCAGAGTTCAACGGTAAATGTAGTCTACAGCCTCAGTCCTGGGTCTATCTTATTAGGAAACATGTTACCCGTCTCTCATGGGTCTCTCTCTTGTCTCTCTCTCTGATCTCTCTCATGTATATATCTCTCTCGGGTCTCTCTCTCTCTGGTCTCTGTCTCTCTCTAGTCTCTGTCCCTGGTCTCTCTCTAGTCTCTCTCTCTCATCTCTCTCTCTGGTCTCCGATTCCGATTCCGATTCCGTTTATTTGCCATTTGCAGTAAAAAAAACTCACATTGGAATACATTAGCAAAAGTCTCCAGTGTGCACAGACATAAAACATCATAAAAAGTACGGAAATAAAACAAATAAAACAGTAAACAAATGTCACTGTGAAATCGATCGACTAAAACAGTTTCAAAACAAGTGCAAATCATTAAAGTGCTCTGTTCACACTGATAACAGCTTGTGGATAAAAACTGTTAGCGTAATGAGATGTCCTGCATCTCAGAGAGCGATATCTTCTGCCAGAGGGAAGAAGCTGGAACATGGCTTTTCCAGGGTGGCCAGAAGAGTCATTAACAATCCTAAGAGCTTTGTTTAAAAGTCTGGATTTATAAAGAACCTCCAGAACAGGAAGCTCACAGCCCACGGTCCTCTTTGCAGAGCGGAGCACCTTGTTTAAAGATCTCTTTTCTTTATCTGTGATGTTTCCAAACCACACAGACACAGAACCAACAAGTAAACCCTCAATGGTGCAGCGATGAAAGTTAAGCAGAATCTTAGAGTTAGTGGTAAATTCTCTAAGTTTACGCAGAAAGTAGAGACGCTGACGAGCTTTCTTAACGACTCGGTCAGTGTTTTTAACCCATTTCAGGTTAGACAGAGTTAAACCCAGAAACTTGCACTCCTCTACGATCTGCACCTAGGAGTTGTCGATTACGACAGGCAAATGAGAACTATTGCGACTGAAGTCGTAGACCAGTTCACATGTTTTCGATGCGTTCAACTGGAGGTTGTTAGTTTTACTCCGCTGAACCACATTTTGTATCTCTGCTCTATAAGAGGATTCAGTGTCACTGATGAGACCGATGATGGTGGTGTCATCAGCATATTCAGCATCAGCATATATACAGTATCAGCATATATGAACATATATTGGTCTCTCCCTAGTCTCTCTCTCTCATCTTTCTCTGGTCTCTCTCTAGTCTCTGGTTCTTCTCCTTTCTCTCCTGACATCTGCAGTTGGGATTTTGTGCAATGATGGTGTCTCTGCAGACATTGAGGACGTGCGGCGGCTGAAGCCCGGGTTCCTTGAGGCCACGGTCGACTGGTTCAGAAGATACAAGGTTCCAGACGGGAAACCAGAAAACCAGTTTGCTTTCAACGGAGAGTTCAAGAACAGGGTGAGATACATTTCTGTTCTAAAATGTTCGAATGACGTGACAGAGGAACAGATTACAAGTTACTTTACAAGTTACATTCTAGACCAGGAACAAGTCCAGAGGATTTAATGCAGTTAATTTCTATCCATTGTACATTTATGGATTCATATCTATTATTTAGAGAGACTAGAGAGAGACCAAGGAGAGAGACCAGGGAGAGAGACCAGAGAGAGAGAGAGACTAGAGAGAGATCAGAGAGAGAAACCAGAAAGAGAGAGAGAGACCACAGAGAGTAAGAGTGAGGGAGACCAGAGAGAAACCAGAAAGACAGAAATCAGAAAGAGGCTAGAGAGAGAGAGAGAGACAGAGTGAGGGAGGGAGAGGGGGTCTAGAGAGAGGAGACCTAGTCCTGGATCCTAGTTCTTAAGACTAAAGACATGTGTGTGGATTTTCGGAGGAAAGTCTCATCACCTCAAGCCACAGTGATCAAAGGTCAAAGAGTGGAGCTTGTCCAAAGTTACAAGTATTTGAGGACATGGATCGACAACAGACTGAACTTCAATGAAAACACAGATGTTCTGTGTAAGAAAGGGCAGCAGCCAGCAGTTCTGCCTCCGGAAACTGGTTTATTCTCACGTGGACAGGACGATAATGAGACTGTTTTACAAATCTTGTGTTGAGTCAGTTTTAACGTTTTCCATGTTGAGTTGGTTTGGAAACCTCAATGTCACTCAGCAGGATAGTAAACCTGAGGGCTAAGATTTTGGGAGCTCCTCAGACTCCACTTTCTGAACTGTTCACTGGTCAGGTGACAAGGAAGGCTCTAAGGATTCTGGGTAATGAGGCTCATCCTCTTCATGAAGAGTTTAGTTACCTGCCGTCTGGTTCCAGACTCAGAGCCCCAATGATTCGGAGCAATAGATAAAAACACTCTTTCGTACCTGCAGCTATTTCTACATTAAACTCGGGCCATAGACAGAGGAAATAAGGTTGAAATTTTGCTTGAGGGGGACATTTTTTGTCTTCTTTTTTATGCAGTTATTTTTAACTGCCATTGACTTTATTGGAGGACTGTATGTGGACACCTTGTTAGTCTGAATATATGGTGAAATAGTTTATTTATCTATTTTTTCTTATGTATCCCTTTGCTGTGAGTCAAATTGCCCCATTGGGGACATGAAATAAAGTGAAGTGAGACCAGATGGAGACCAGGAGAGAGACCAGTGAGAGAGACCAGTGAGAGAACAGACACTAGCACTTCTTTTCACTTTCATGTATTTTGGTCTCCGTCACATCTTTACACAGAAAAGTGAAGCGAAAAACGTTGGTACCTGAGCTTTAACTTTGTGTAATATTCCAGGACTTTGCCATAAAAACCATAAAGGACACACACAGCTTTTGGAGAGCGATGGTCACAAAACAGTCGGACGCTGGAGAGTTGAACTGGTGAGTCACGGATTAGACTTCTCAGTACATACAGAATATAGTAAAAGTCTTTAGATTACCTGCTGTCTCTCTCATTACCAGTATGAACACGTGTGTGGCCGACAGCCCGTTCCGCTGTTCCCATGGAGACGCAGAAGCAGTGGTCAAATCTGTTAGTTTTTAATGTTTTTATACTTTCAATAGTCTAAAACAAATCTGAATTTTTGCATGTTTTGTTTTGTTGTTGTTCCAGGCTTCTGCTTTTGGACCAGGAGAACCCATTCCCAGTTCAGGTCTGACCTCTCTATGAAATCCTAAAAACTATGTGTGTGTATTTCTCATTTTTGTTTATATGTTTTGCAGTTGACAAATGGTTCTACTATGAAAAGTGACACAAAACGGACAAGAAACAGGAAAATTTGCCTTTTTATTTCACTTCATTCTTTATTAAACTGTTCATTCAGTGACTCGTAAGATGTTATATGTGTTTTCTTTGTGTTAAGGTTCTTTTGGCACCCCCTCCATGCTTTCTAGTTAGCTCTGCTTTGCTAACATTGAGAGAGAGAGACCAGCGAGTGACCAGAGAGACAAGAGAGAGACCAGAGAGAGTCAAGAAAGAGAGAGCAGAGTGAGCAGAGGGTGGCCAGAGAGACAAGAGAGACCAGAGAGAGTCAAGAACGAGAGAGCAGTGATCAGAGAGGGACCAGAGAGAGAGAGACCAGAGAGAGAGACCAGAGAGAGAAACCAGAGATAGACCAGAAAGAGACAAGAGAGAGACATTAAAGCTAACACTGTGGTCACTATGGTAACACTCATATACAGTCTATATTTCAGTCTTGTGTCCAATGAACCACAGCCACAGCTCGACTCTCATACACCTTTATTAGCAAACGTGGCGTCCTAAAGTACATTCTTTTCATCTATCACATGCAAAACAATGGGTTTTATCGACAACTCAAACAAAACACTAAAATATTGACATTTCCGACGCACACAATTCAAGTATGAGGCATTATGTTTCAGTACAAATCCATGGCACATTCAGGGCATTCAGTGGGGGAAGTACATTCAAAATAAAGTCAGTATTTTGGATATTTCACAGTTCTAGTGTTTGCACATAAACACGAGGGAGAAGGGTTTGAAATGATGTAGCAGAAATATGGAGGAAAATAAGTGATAATACAAAAAAAACCTAGAGTTGTTATTGTTTTTTTGCAAAGGGTAACATGAAGGCTTCTGTAACCAATCAGAGAGAGGCCAGGGAGAGGCCAGAGAGAGAGGCCAGAGAGACCAGAGAGAGACCAGAGAGAGAGACCAGAAAGAGACCAGAGAGAGACCAGAGAGAGACCAGAGAGAGACCAGAGAGAGACCAGAGAGAGAGACCAGAAAGAGACCAGAGAGAGAGCAGAGAGAGACCAGAGAGAGGCCAGAGAGAGATCAGAGCGAGAGACCAGAGAGAGACCAGAGAGACTAGAGAGAGATCAGAGAGAGACCAGAGATAGACCAGAGAGAGAGACCAGAGAGAGACCAGAGAGACAGCAGAGAGAGAGACTAGAGAGAGGTCTGAGAGACCGGAGAGAGAGCAGAGAGAGAACAGAGAGACCGGAGAGAGAGAGAGAGAGAGAGAGACCAGAGAGAGCAGAGAGAGAAAGAGACCAGAGAGAGAGAGCAGAGAGAGACCGGGGAGAGAGGCCAGAGAGAGCAGAAAGAGAGAGAGAGAGCACAGGGAGAGTGAGACCAGAAAGAGACCAGAGAGACTTGAAAAAGACCAGAGAGAGAGAGAAAAAAAGTATTTGACACACAACTCCACAAGGACCAGTTCAGGAACCCCACAATTCAATTCAATGAAGTGGTTTTTTAAATATAAAACAGAACTAGAGCAAGATAAGTTTTAAGGCTGCTTTAGAGAGATGGGAGACAGACAAGTCCAGTGGTATTATGCTACTTCTGTGGTTTGAACACGAGTTTGAGTCCAGAGAGAGAGAGAGATTCCAGCGAGACTCCAGAGATCACCAGATGTATCCTCCGTCGTCGGCTTCGCTCTCTTCGTCCTCCTCTTCCTCTTCCTCCGCTGCGTCCTGCGTCTCCTCCTCGTCCTCCCATCCTCCCACTCCGCTGCCAAAATCCCCGGAGTGACCTACAACTTCGTCTGAAAGCACAGTGATGAGAGAAGTGAGAGAAGAAGAGAGAGAGGGAAGAGGAGACACCAGGGAGAAGAGGAGAAACCAGAAATTCTGTGACTGGGTTTTTAATTAAGTCTGTTTCTCCAGAACCAGTATCTCTGGTTCGTTTTTTTTTATCTGTAAAGCATTTATAATAATATTTGTAGAACTGTATACAGATGGAAATGCTAACCTGCTAGCTCGATGAAGCTCGATATGAAACTGAAAGAACAGAGAGAAACCAAAGAGAGACCAGAGAGAGACCAGCAAGAGACTTGAGAGAGACCAGACTGAAACCACAGAGAGAGACGAGACTGTGAGAAAGAGATCAGAGATAGACCAGAGAGAGACTAGACTGGGACCAGATGGAGAGAGACCATAGAGATACTGCACTGAGACCAGAGATAAACCAAAAATCAGAAAGGGCAAGCACTATTTGCGACTCACGGCAACTTCCGGTGACTCGCGTGACTCAGGCGCTGTGAGCCGCGACTCAGCAGCCAGAAGTTGTGGCTCACGGTTATCAATTTAGCTTTTTAGGGGTATCTGTTGATTATCAATGACACATTGTGGATCTGGAGGCATATATTTACAAGTAACCAGTATGTTACACACTCTTCATCATCTGGTATGTGTTTATATAGCTCTCCATGTTCGTTAACCACTGACTCAGGAGCTGTGAGTCGCGGCTCAGGAGCTGTGAGTCGCGGCTCAGGAGCTGTGAGTCGCGGCTCAGGAGCTGTGAGTCGCGGCTCAGGAGCTGTGAGTCGCGGCTCAGGAGCTGTGAGTCGCGGCTCAGGAGCTGTGAGTCGCGGCTCAGGAGCTGTGAGTCGCGGCTCAGGAGCTGTGAGTCGCGGCTCAGGAGCTGTGAGTCGCGGCTCAGGAGCTGTGAGTCGCGGCTCAGGAGCTGTGAGTCGCGGCTCAGGAGCTGTGAGTCGCGGCTCAGGAGCTGTGAGTCGCGGCTCAGGAGCTGTGAGTCGCGGCTCAGGAGCTGTGAGTTGCGGCTCAGGAGCTGTGAGTCGCGGCTCAGGAGCTGTGAGTTGCGGCTCAGGAGCTGTGAGTCGTGGCTCACAGTTAAAATACAGCATATTTTTGCTTTTTAGGGGTATCTGGGAATTTCTAATGAGACTATATGGATCTGGAGGCATAGTTTACACGCCTACTTCACGACACGCCTCTGTCCTGCAGGCCGCAGAATGACTACTTCGAACCCGCAGCAACACCTTTTTGAACAGGTGTGGGCTTATTCTATACATTAGCACGTAGCTCAACATGTCCTTCCAGTGATGTGCGGCACCACTCTGCTGCTATTCATGACTGAGCTGTATATGTTCCTGTATTGGGAGACAAAGTAACAGCTCATGTGGAAACAAATGTTCATGTTATAGTGCAATGTGTGCAAATGTATTAGCTACAGCCAAGTGCAAAACTGAAATGTATCAAACCTAAACCAAATCTTTATTCTTTATAATTGGTCTATTAAAGTGAATTACGTTGTGCATTTTTTTATAAAGTTTGTTTTCCTTCTCTTCTGTGTGTGGCTCATCTTGATGTGTCGTCTCAGTAGTTCTGTAATTCAAGAATAACCGGTTAACTACACTTAATTTTTGCATAGAAAAGAAATGAGAGAAAAGAGGCATTAAGGAGAAAAACATGTCTTGATGGCTGCAGCATGACACCTGTATTTCCACTGCATTTGTATCCTGTATAATGCTCCAGGATCAGATGTTTAAAGGGTATAAGGGAGCTACACTTTTTGGAAACCCTAAAACATTTGATTCAGGATGATCACGGCAGTTATGAGGGAAAGTACAGGTGCCATGCAGCAGTCATACAGCCACTGGGCCACCAAAGGCTCAAATAAGCATCTTCAAACATTTCACCACAACAGAAGTTACTTGAATTCTGTATTTTGAACATCTGGGTTCGGTAACATGATCATATAAAATTATGTCATTAGGGTCTTTCTCTTTAATTCTCTATTTACAATAGTAAGTCCACCTCAGCACACTATCCTCTAAAGTTAACAATAATCATTTTTTTTAGAATTAAAATGCCCTGAAATGAAATGCCCTGATGCTTGTGTTTGTTCAAAGACAAAGAAATCTCTACTCTGGGTTCTTGGCTCACTTTGTCATCCACATTATATTACTATAAGGACAAATTGGTACAAGTGGCTTTTATAATTGTGTTTGTTTGTGTATTGTATGTATTTTTTCAAATGCCTTTAGCATTATTAATAAATAACAAATAATAATGTCTCAGTGGTTTTTTAGTTATTTATTTCTTATGTGACCAAACCTGTGTTATACACCTTGCCTCATCTTTTGTCCTATGGAGTATACACTCTGCTCTGTATCTGCAAGTTTTGTGTATTCTTTGAAGCCACAGAATTACAACCAAGGAATTTTACACAAGTTTTTTTTTTTTTTCCTGTTTAAATGTCATGCCCTTTAAAATGTTAAAATGATTAAAAGACAGATTCCAAAAAACGAAACAAAATAACCTACCTCAATATTTTGGTGAAATTTAAATTGCAAGCGAGATGTCCAACGTCGTGCATGATTCAACATGAGATTAGACAGCGCCCCCTGGTGTCAGCAGACGAGTCCTGACTTATGTCTCGTAAGTCACTTGTTAACAATAGAGTAATACAAACACATATCAGCTGGTAAAGTATGTATGAGGCACTGAGGACATGGAAAATGTTCATCCAGATACATTAATAATTCATAAATACTCCTAAAAAGTCTTTTTCATTAGAATATGAAATAAGCCCTGCAAATACATGTAATAATCTGTATTTAGGCCTGTATCACTTAATCAACCACTTGCACTATGACTGTAAACCTGCGCTGCTAATACTGAGTCTGTTTATTTTACTAAGGATGCACCAATACCAATATTAGTATTGTGCCGTTTCCACATACTTGTGCCGTTTCCACATACTTGTGCTCATACTCATTCATGAGGTCCCATGACTGTATATAAGATACCACGATGGGGCGTCTTGCTTCAGTGGGAGCAGGTGGTTGTGGGGGCACGACCCCACGATCATTAGGTCCAAAGACCAAATCTCTGCCAATTGAGTCACTGTTGCCCCTAATAATTCCCAGATACCCCTAAAAAGCACAGATTTGTGGTATTTTTAACCGTGAGCTATGACTTCTGACTGCTAAGCCGCGACTCAGGAGCTGTGAGTCAGTGGTGAACAGTTCATAGAGATCTATACAAACAAATACCAGCTGATGAAGAGTGTGTAACATACTGATTACATGTAAACTATGCCTCCAGATCCATATTGTCTCAATAGAAATTCCCAGAAACCCCTAAAAAGCAAAGATTTGTGGTATTTTTAACTGTGAGCCTCGACTTCTGACTGCTGAGCCGCGACTCACAGCTCCTGAGCCGCGACTCACAGCTCCTGAGTCGCGACTCACAGCTCCTGAGTCAGTGGTTAACGAACATGGAGAGCTATATAAACACATACCAGATGATGAAGAGTGTGTAACATACTGGTTACTTGTAAATATATGCCTCCAGATCCACAATGTGTCATTGATAATCCACAGATACCCCTAAAAAGTTAAATTGATAACCGTGAGCCACGACCCCTGAATGCTGAGCGTGAGCCGCGACTCAGAGCGCCTGAGTCACGCGAGTCACCGGAAGTCGCCGTGAGTCGCAAATCGTGCTTGCCCTCTCTCCCAAAAATAGACCAGACTGAGACCAGAGACAGAGACCAGAGAAAAAGACCAAAGACAGACCAGACTGAGACGAGAGAGAGACCAGAGAGAGACTCGATTGAGACCAGTGAGAGAGACCAGCAGTGTTGGGCACGTTACTTTGAAAAAGTAATTAATTATAGTTACTAGTTACTTCTCCCAACAAGTAACTGAGTTACTAACGGAGTTACTCCACTATAAAAGTAACTAGTTACCAGTAAAAGTAACTATTGCGTTACTTTTTCGTTTTGTTCTGGAACATAATGTGCACCCGACGTGCGCCTTTTTACCTTTAACAGAGCCAATATTTCCATCTAGAAAAGGCTGTTTTGCTGCTGAAGTCCTGTTCACTTTTCATCTCTCTCTGTTCTGTAAGCACTAAACACCAACACGCTCCACTGTGAATGTGGAAACACCGGTGAAGCGCTGACTTCAGCCCAATCAGATGAACATACATATCGTATAAATCAAGTGGACAATTTGTTTGGCTACAGCAAAATATGTTTCATGCCCGCATTGTTTGTTCATACAAAACGCAAAACTATGAGTTATGGGTCTTACCTTATAAATGACCTGCACAGACCACTTCAGTTCAGACCAGTTCCGTGTTTAAGTCCAGTTAATGGTTTGAGCGTAGATATGTAATCCTCCATTTGGAAATGAGTCCAATGAGTTTTAAAAAGTAAAACAAAACGCGTGTGTCCTCCATAAACTCCTGTGTTTTGCGCCAGCCGAGTGCATGATTGCATCCAATTTCTAAAATCAACCGTCTTACACTTCACCTCTCTTTCTTCACATTCCTATAGTAATTGAAAAATTACCCTATGTGCATTTTAGATTGTCTAAAGATTTGTTACATGTATGTTAGCCAAACCTGTTGCAGCCCTTAGCAGATAATCCAGGAGGAGAAAGGAGCTTATCGATGGAATTGTATGCAGCCGACTTCTGCGCTCACATGCGCTCCTCTGAGGCTGGCCTCACCGTGATACAAGCCGTGGTTGAGCGCGATTAAGACCCATATTTGTTTCAAAAACACAATTTATGAGCATACTCTCAACTGTAAACATGTAGATTGTAAAGGAAATATGTTTTACATCAGCCAATAATTTCTGAGAGTTTTTCTCATCCTCCCTTCTCTCATGACAACACGTTCATTGTGCGTCTTGAGTAACACGCAGTAACGGGATGTCGGAAATGATAACGGCGTTATAGTTACTGTCAAAGTAATTTGTTAGATTACTCGTTACTGAAAAAAGTAACGGCGTTAGTAACGCCGTTATTCCCATCTCTGGAGACCAGAAATAGACCAGACTGCATCAGAGAGAGGGAGAGAGACCAGAGAGAGACCAGACATCTTCCACATTAAGGCTAACACTTTGGATGACACCAGCACTGGGTTATGTCCTTCCTCAGTCTACAGTTTGACTCCAGGACAGCGGAGTGGATGTGTTAGGGGCCTCACCACAGTCGGGGGTCCCCTGGATCCTGGAGCCCGTCAGCTCTCCTCCCTGGGGGTCCACACACCAGCACTCTGCTCTGCCTACGTCACACTGCACCTTCTGGAAGTACCCCTCCTCATCACAACTGGGGACCAGCGAGTCTGTGGAGAGAACAGTGTTAGAGCGAGCAGAGAGAGATCAAAGAGAGATCAGAGAGAGACCAGAGAGAGACCAGAGAGAGCAAAGAGAGACCAGAGAGAAACGAGAGACCCCTGAGAGACCAGAGGGACCAGAGAGACCAGAGAAAAACAGGAGAGACCAGAGAGAGACAGGAGAGATCAGAGAGACAGGAGAGAGAGACCGGGGAGAGACTGGGGAGAGACCGGGGAGAGACCGGAGAGAGACCGAAGAGAGCAGAGAGAGACCAGAAAGACACCAGAGAGAGACCAGAGAGAGACCAGAAAGAGCAGAGAGAGTAGAAAGAGACCAGAGAGAGACCAGAGAAAGACCAGAGAGCAGAAAGAGAGCAGAGAGATAGCAAAGAGAGACTCGAGAGAGAGACCAGAAAGAGACCAGAGAAAGAAAGACCAGAGAGCGACCATAGAAATACCAGCGAGAGACCAGTGAGCGACCAGAAAGAGACCAGAGGGAGAACAGAGCGAGACCAGAAAGAGCAGAGCAGAGGGGGAACAGAGAGAGACTAGAGAGAGACCGGAGAAAGAGGGAGCCTAGAGAGAGAGACCAGAGAGAGACCAGAGAAAGGGGGAGACTAGAGAGAGAGACCAGAGAGAGACCAGAGAAAGGGGGAGACTAGAGAGAGAGACCAGAGAGAGACCAGAGAAAGGGGGAGACTAGAGAGAGAGACCAAAGAGGCCTAGATCACTCAATGGGGAAATAATAGATGAGAGTAGCACGTTTGTTCTGTCTTTTCTAAACTTCTTCCACGGTTCAAAATCAGTCCCCCTCTGGTCCCTCTGCTCCTTCTGCTCCTCTGCTCCCTCTGATCCCTGTTCGGCTGCTGTTGTCTCTCTAAACTATCTGAGTGTTATTCTTGCTTCGACGATTCTCTGTTTCCAGTGTGACAGCAGCAGAGTCCCCCAGGAGCCTGTGTCAAAACCTCAGACACGATTCACATTCAGGGAACGGAGAAAGTGACTAACAAGAACCAGGGAGCACAAGGAGAGACCAGGACCAGGACTGAACCAGGATTGAACCAGGATTGAACCAGGACCTAACCGGGACGGAACCAGGACTGAACCAGGAATGAACCAGAGAGACCAGAAAGAGAGACCAGGGACTAGTGACAGAACAGAGAGAGAGAGAGACCAGAAAGAGAGAGAAGAGAGAGACTAGAGAGAGAGCAGAGAGAGAGAGGGAGAGGGGGCAGAGAGAAACCAGAAAGAAAGGCCAGCGACAGAGACTAGAGAGAGAGACCAGTGAGAGAGACTAGAGAGAAAGGCCATAGCAGAGACTAGAGAGAGAAAGATAAGTGAAAGAGACCAGTAAGAGAGACCAGAGAGAGAAAAGAGTAATACCGGAGAGAAAGACTAGAAGGAGACAAGAGAAAGAGGGAGCGGAGAGAGACTAGAGAGAGAGCGGAGAGAGAGAGAGAGAGAGAGAGAGAGAGAGAGAGAGAGAGAGAGAGAGAGAGCAAGAGAGAGAGAGAGCGAGGGGGCAGAGAGAGACCAGTGAGAGAGACCAGAGAGAGAATACAGAGATACCGGAGAAAGAGACCAGGAAGAGACTAGAGAGAGAGATACCAGAAAGAGAGACTTAGAGAGATACTAGAGAGAGACTATAATTCAAGTCGAAGATGCAACATCACAGGCCTCTGCTCTTTTGTACTTACTGCTGTCCCCTGCGTCGTGCTTTTGGATCCGCTCCAGCTTGGCGAGGCACGGAGGCTCTGCAACAAACACAGAGAAGAGGATTCTGATGACAGGGGAAATACAGCACTTTAAAATCTCTATCTGGGCACAAGCACTTTATAATTACACGTATTGATTCACTGAGGATGTCTCGCCTGGAGTCCCTGTTTTGTTGAGGTGGAAAAGGGAAAAATAGAGAGATGAGAGACCAGAGAAGGAAGAGAGAGACCAGAGAAAGAGAGCAGAGAGGGAGAGCAGAGAGAGAGCAGAGAGGGGCCAGAGAGAGAGAGCAGAGAGAGATCAGAGAGAGACCAGAGAGAGACCAGAGAGAGAGTAGAGAGAGACCAGAGAGGGACCAGAGAGAGAGAGCAGAGAGAGACCAGAGAGACCAGGAAGAGGGAGCAGAGAGAGAGAGTAAAGAGACATCAATGAGAGAGAGAACAGAGAGAGAGACCAGAGAGGGACAGAGAGAGACCTAAGAGATAGATCGGAGAGAGACCAGAGAGAGACACCAGTGAGAGACCTGAGAGACCAGGGACAGACCCAGACCAGACCCAAACCAGGCCCAAAACAGGTCAAGACCAGGTCCAGACCAGGTGAAACTATACATACTAAGCTATCTAAATAAACTTCCCTCTGCCGTCTTCCTACACTCCCCTCAGAGCGGACGTATGGATCTGTGTCTGATCCATTAATCTCAGGTTAAACCATCGATCGATGTCATAATCTGCAACAGATGAACTTCTCTGCATCCGGTTCTCTTCACAAAGGTCAGACTCACAGACAGACGACATCTCTCTGGGTCGATCTGAATAAGGAGAATAGGAGCTTGATGGTACTTTGATGCTTTCTGGTTTAAACCATTTGTACTCTCCCTCATTCAGACCTTCCAGTGTCCATGGTTCTGTCCAAACGGAAAATTCAACCAAACAGAAAATGTCCAGAGGTTGTCTTTTTTGTTGTCAAGAAACTGAAGATTTTCAAGTAAGACCAGAAATAGAGAGACCAGAGAGAGCCTAGAGAGGAAGATAGACCAGAGAGAAACCAGAGAGGAACCAGCAAGAGACCAGAGAGGAACCAAAGAGAGCAGAGAGAGACCAGATAGAGAGCAGAGATAAGGAGCGAGACTAAAAAGAGAGAGGCCAGAAAGAGACCGTAGATGGAGACCAGAGAGAACCCCGAGAGAGAGAGTGAGAGACCAGAGGTAGAGACCAGATAGAGATCAGAGAGAGACCGAAGAAAGACCAGAGAGAGGGACCAGAGAGAAATAGTGGTACTATTCCAGGACTAAGACAAGACATGTTTGAGCCGGTCTCTGACATCAGCATGGATGGATCCAAACACAGCTCCAGGTCTCGGTCTCCTTTCACACATGTCCCACTCACTGTCTCTCCAGAAGCAGAGGCACCACTCGGACCAGGACACGCGCCCGTCTCTGTGGGCGTCACACGAGCGGAAGAAGTTCCCCACGCAGACCTCATACTGGTCCAGATTTATGGACTCCAGCTCGGACCGGGACAAGAACCGGTCCTGGTCCTGGTCCAGGCGCGAGAACATCCAGGAGATAGAGTCCCGGCAGCTGGGCTCCACGCTCCGGTCCAACGCTGGGGGAAAATAAGTACACAATCAATAAGTACTTTTCACATTTCTTTTCAACATGAGAGTGTAGGGTCGGAGAGTGTTTGGGCCTGTATGTTTAAGTGTGTGTTCTGTCTGTTTTAGATTACAGTCTATGGTCTTCTACAATCTATGGTAATGTCCAGTGACTTGTTTTTTGCCTGTTGTAATAATATATGTAAAAATATGTGTTGTGCTTCTTTAAAAATTTTGTTCGAACAGAAAGACTCTTGTAAAAAAGTAACATTCCTAAGCAATAATTGCGGTAGAAGAAGAGGGAAAGGAGAGAGCATAGTAGAAAGAAGAGAGAGAACAAAGAAGAGTGAGCATGAAAGAGAGAGGGGAGAGCATAGAAGATAAAGAAGAGAGAGAGCAGAGAATATAGGAGGAGAGAGACCATAGAAGAGAGAGGAGAGAGAGCATAGAAGAGAGAGAAGAGATAGGAGAGAGTGGACAGTCCTCTTGTCTGCTCCTCTCCACTTCTGAACCATGAAAGCCCTAAACTCCATCAGTCCCATAATTACCAGATGCAGTAGAGCCCTGGCTCCTCCCCTCTCTGCTGGTCTCTCTCCTGGTCTCGCTCCTGGTCTCGTTCCTTTTGTTGTTCCCGTGCAGGAGTTGAAACCAGTCCCTGAGTCGGTCCCCGAGGTCTGACAGCTCCTCCTCACTGCAGCTCACTGGAGAAACATCAACAAACCTCAGAAAGTTTCCCCCATGAGCCCTTCCCTATTGGGCATCGTTGAGCTAGCGGGTTAGCATTGCCCATCTATATACAGGCTGTGTGGTTGTACTGAATATCAATAATAACATATGTTGTGTTGGTTCTCATTGGTAGTAACTTGGTAGTCAAAGCCTCTTGCCTGGTTTGGTCTGTGGGGCGGTGGTGACGGGGCAGGGGCAGAATCCAGAGCAGATGATGTTCAGGTCCTTCCCGGTCAGACAGGACTGCTGCTGGAGCTTACACTGAGAAAACAACAAGAAAGACGTGTGTGAAGAGAGAGAACAAAGAGAGCGACCGAGGCCAGAGAGAGAGAGAGAGACAGACCAGTGTTTTTCCAAGTCAAAAAGAAAATTCCGCTATCATTCAAAAGTCTATTTACTTTTGTGATTGAACTTACTATGTGAAACTAGGATATGAGTCAAAGACATTTCGAACCTGGACGATTGGCTCACAGTAAAATAAAACACAAATTGAGGCTGTTTTAAAATACCGTCTCCATAGCTGACCAGTGCTGACCTCAGAGGCGTAGCTGTGTCCATCAGAGCCACAGACCGGAGCAGAGGAGGAAGTACAGGCTCTGCACTTTACAGGAGACTCTGGCTTCTTCACCCTGAGAGAGAGAGGAGAGAGAGATCAGAGAGAAAGACCAAAGAGGGAGACCAGAGAGAGATAACAGAGAGGGAGACGAGAGAAAGACCAGAGGGAGAGGGGAGAGAGAGAGACCAGAGAAAGGGGAACGAAACCAGAGTGAGACCAGAGAGAGGGAAGCAAAACCAGAGAGAGACCAGAGAAAGAGAGAGAGGGGAGAGAGTCTGCATTATCTTTGGGGTTTTAAAATAATAATGTGACTATTTACTTTGTCATTTCACCCAGAGAACGTCAGATTAAATACCAACCAATATTCAGTTGTGGGTCCTGGGTCGGGTCCTGGGTCGGACCTGTGTCAAGTCCTGGGTCGGGTCCATGTTCGGGTCCTTGGTCGGGTCCTTGGTCGGGTCCTTGGTCGGGTCCTTGGTCGGGTCCTTGGTCGGGTCCTTGGTCGGGTCCTGGGCCGGGTCCTTGGTCGGGTCCTAAGTAAGTAAGTAAGTGATCTTTATTTATATACCGCCTTTCACAGACCAGAGTCACAAAGCGGTTTACAATTGTTATTTTTGGGCATTTGTCTCTCACTCCTCACAGAGATGGGAGCAGGGTCGCCGAACAGGAGGCGCATGCCAGAACTATTGCACAAATTTTTAGTGGTTAGGGGAAACCGGAGTACCCGGAGGAAACCTACGCAGAGGGGTCGGGTCCTGGGTCGGGTCCTGGGTCGGGTCCTGGGTCGGGTCTTGGGTCGGGTCCTGGGTCGGGTCCTGGTCTCACCTCTGGTCCAGTTTCCCGCGGCTGAGGCACACGGCTCTCTGAAGGCCCTGGGACACACACACCTTATGTCGGCTGCACCGCACACGCACACACGGGTCTTTGGTCGAGTCCGCTGAAAACAAGAACCAAAGAGACACAGGAAATATGTAAACGTGTGAGAGAGAGATGGAGGAGAGAGGGGAAATAAAGAGAGAAAGTAAGAGATAGAGAGAGACAGAGAGAGAGAGAAAGAGAGAGAGAGTAGTATGTCATAACTTATGTCACAAATTAAGTTGTAATTTCTGTCTCAAAGTACATTTAGTTTTCTGTTTTGCACCAACCTGCTTCAGGACTACAGCTATAAATTAGCACTGCTGCTAACAACCCATCTCTCCCTTTGTAATAATAACAATAATAATGCATCGGTTTTATACAGCGCTTTTCTGGACACACAAAGACACTTCACATGTCATTATTCATTCACTCCAAACACGGTGGTGATAAACTACAACTGTAGCCACAGCTGCCCTGGGGCACACTGACAGAAGCGAGGCAACCAGTATGCGCCATCGGCCCCTCCGACCACCACCAACCATTCACACACACACCAGACTCATTCTAGGCAATGGGGGTGAAGTGTCTTGCCTAAGGACACAACGGCAGTTTGGCACTTTACAGCCGCAGCCGCCCCACTGTGGCTGGTGTTCCCAGAGATTAAGTGTCTTGCCAAGGACACAACGACAGCAGACAGTGGGAGTCGATGGCGAAGGTCGGGCTGGAACCCACGACCCTCTGGCTCAAAGGCCAAAGCTCTACCAACTGAGCTACTGTCGCCCAGACAGTATGAGGTGTATTACTGTCCATGTAAAAATAAAAAATCCTACCATACTTAAACATACAGACTGAGGGATCTATCTTCCTCTTGTTAGCTTTTGTTTGTGTCGGAGGAAGATCCCCGTGAGTCACTAACAGATGCTGAAGGAACCAGTTAGATGGTTTTTCTTTTTTTGTTTGAGTTTGCATGTTCTCCCAACGTCTGCGTAGGTAACCACTGTTGTGACTCAGGCTCTAGAAGCGTCTAAATGAGAGCGTATTCTTTACTTTGGTCTGCGTTCGCACCGTCCTCTGTGTGTTTGATGTCGTCGCCCTAGAAACAGAAATGGTTTAAACACATTTTCAACCATAAATTAACAAAATTAACATTTCATTTTTGCCAACTCACCTCCACTTCCTG